CTAACCAAACCTGACACATCGCTCTCTTTCCCCCACTCTCTCCGACTCTTCAAAGTAGGCTCTACCGAGTGACACACACATATGCACACATATAGCGCACGCACGCACGCACACACACACACACACACACACACACACACACACACACACACACACACACACACACACACACACACACACAGAGTCCCTGGCAGCAGTAGTGGGTGTTCTGTCAGGCGGCGGAGCTGTACAGCAGCAGCAGAAGCCCACAGGCCCGAGGACAAGCTCAGTCAATCTAAATCTGGACTTTGTAGTGGAGCAGTGCTCATTTCCCCTCATAGCCCAGCTACTTGAGGTGATCCAAACACTGAAGTGTGAGAAGCTGTCACCTCCGATAAAATCCAGGACCAGCTCCGTGCCTGCCTGCTCCCCCGGTGTACGGGGGGTACATACACACGTGTGTTTGTACGTGTGTGTGCATGTGCTTCTCTGACAGTCAGGAGGCTGGGGCGGGGGGGATGAATTCCAGCTGCCGTGATTTGCCTGGGGATATAGGTGCCACGGCTGGAGAGTGGGTTTGACACCACTGGAATCGGGGTGTCTCACAGTGCTCTGATCACATGGGTACCGGGGCCTTTCACATATTCACAGCTTACCCAGCGAGATAGCTCGCGCTCTCCAGGAGTAGGGCGATGGGGAGAAATGACCAGAACCAAGGCTCCCAATAAGAGCTTACCTAGAGGGGATATATTTGTAGGTTGCAACCAAAGCCTTTCAGAGATAACCTTCACAGATGAAGGAACTAAAGCCAAAGGCCCCTTGAACCTTCACACTCGGCTGAGCTCGTCACTAGCCTGTGGGGGCTGAGAAGGATTGGAGGGACCACATTCTGTGATTCTCCAGTACCAATCAGAAAGCGCTGGAAAATGTGTGACCTGTAACTCCACAACAGCGCTAATATATACACTTGTGTGCGATCATAGGAGAAGTGGGAGTTTAAATTAAGGAAAAAAGGGAAGAACAAAGAACAGGCAAGAGGTCCGTCTCCCAGTGGGTGAAAAAGTGCATGAACGTTGAAAGCTCTACATTTCAGCACTACATTAAGCGGTGTGTTTGGTGCATAAACACATTCCAGTTCACTGCATTCCCTTCACAGCAAGTGTTTGCTCTTATTACAAGAGAAACCAGGAGAAAGATGGGGTGGCTGGAGACAGGAAAGGGAATAACTAAGCCAAACTTGGTCTTACATAATGCCCTCTGAGGCCACAGTCACGCCGGTGGGGCTCTGCCTGATGAACTGATACTTAATAAAAAGTGTTACAGTGCCAAAAGTGCTAGTGTACAATATCCTCTGTGTACCCTGAGACATGGATGAGCACACTCGAATCAACACCCACACTCTCAACCATGTACACATTATCACAAACTCATACCCCCTTTCATCTCGAGCACACGGGGAGAACGGTGGGAGCAGCCATTAAAGTGACAGATTAACAAAGTGACGCGGAGGCTAACGTTTCCATCATGCCCTGGTGGAGCAACAGTCAGCCCTTTATACTACATACTGTATGTCACACAGCCCCAAGTTAGACGCAAACCCTCTTGTCTTTATTAAAAGCTTGCACAATTGGTTTTTTGCATCTCCTGCTTGGTGATTGCTGCAGTGTGGGTTCATCGTCAGAAAAGTCTGGTCTTTTGCGAGCTGATTACCCAAAGCATGTGTCCTCCCCACAGGGGCTTGATGGGCCATTCTCCCACAGTGTGAGTAAGCTAACTGTGCAAGCGTCATGTTTACAGTGCTCTAACACCAAATCAACACATACAGCATCAACAGTTGCTGTTGAACACAGAATTTCTTAGTAATAATAAAGTACAGTATAACCAAAGGGGTAAAGCAATCCCAGCAGACAGAACTGACAAAGTAATCAAGGGTGTTTTATTGTTTTGCTGCATAAGATTAACACAACAAAAAGTCATCAATAAACATTTGAATAGAATAATAATGTATTCCTAATCAAGTTTCATTGTCCTTTGTAGTTCAGAGTATGTTTTTATGTTTCTTTCAGATAGTTTTCTGGTATAACCTGCAGAGATGAATGTCATTCTTTTTTATGTGGATATTTAGGAGAGCTTTAGCTAGTCCTTTGTTTGAGATTTATGCTGTAATTATTAAATTGTAATACCGAAGAGGCGCCGCCTAAGAGTATTAACTTGGCAAGATAGCGGTAATACATGAAATATGATTGTCCAGCAAATAATAAAATGCATCAATCTGAAGTGTGGTTTTAGATTATACCTGAACAGTCATTGTCTTCTGTTGGTAATTCCTGAAAAGTGGGCTAATCTCCAGCAATTTTACTACATTAACTCCTCACCTGTTAAAGATGCTGTGACCTAACAAGAGACATCAAGAGAAATGTGGAACCAAATCTGATGTAAAATAATATTAGTAATAGTATTAACAGAGAGGTAGTAGACATAGCTTTCGGGTGTCTCAAAACTTAACAGATGGAAGAAGGCAGATCGTGTAAGAGACATAGTTTGTGTAAGAAATAAGGACTTGGACTAATTTTTTAGCTCATAGCATGTGTGGGTCTTGTAGCATTTCATCAGCGCACACTTATAAGAGGAAGACAGAGGGAGTCAGAGAGGGGAGGGAGATGGAGTGGGTTTAATGATTGTTCCCTGCATACAATCAGCTTGACTCTTTTCAAGGGCCATCAATATGTCACAGAAAGACACATCCAACGGATGTAGCTTTTAACATCAAGGTTATCTATTCTTGGCATGAATTCACTCCCTCCACTCCTAGTTTCTTGCCCTGTCCCCTCTCCACATCTATTCTCCCCTCTTGTCTTAACTGCTTCCACTTTGTCTTTCTCCTCCTTTATGCACTCTTCTGCTTTCTGATTATTCACTGATTTTTTTTTTTGTAACCACACTCTCCTTTTTAGCGACTTAGCCAACAATTTGTGCGTTTCAATCCATCAGGGGGGAAAAAATATAACTTGAAGAATCCAATTAACAACACAATTACACTCTCCGTATTATCTCCAAGGGCTGAAATAACACTGGGCAGGTGGGGGATGGGGTCAGATGTTGTTCATCGCTGGCTTCTA